TACTTCCGTAGTGATACTGCCTCGGAAACCCAAGGAGGGGTCGCTATGAGTCGGGGCCGACTCGACGGCACATAACAACAACAACAACAATCATTTGTTCTCCTCCTGGGAGTTGATAAGGCAACAGCAGAATCCTTTGTGCTTTTGCTGCCTCAATCTATTTGGTGAGTTGTTATCATCCTAACATTAATGAGGTCAAAATATTCTTCAAACAGGAGTCCTTGATGATCTATTAACTTTATACTTTATTTTAGAAATTGGAAGAAGATTTGGAATTTAACATCCAACTACACAGTGAAAAGAAAGTATGGATGTACAGTCACACCAGGACTAATAAGTTTGTTGCGTTCAATTATTCTCTTCAGTCCAAACTGACTGTTCTTTGTTGGGGGGTATCATTCAGATGGAGCATCGACATCGGAAGAAAGATACCCCAGTGCAGGCCAGCAGCCATCACCTCTTTGTGCAGATGAAGAGCCTCATGTGTTCTAATCTGGGAGAGGAGCTGGAAGTCATCTTCTCACTCTTTGATAGTAAAGAGAATCGACCAATCAGGTAAGTGCAATAGAGACAAGACTTGAATTCCTCACTGTTGGAATGGTGGATATTTATGATTGACAAGCATTACATTTGACCTTGGGCAAGTCATGGACTAATCAGCTTCTATTTTCCCACCTGTACAACTCTGTGAGTTTCTAAGCTGCCTCTAGAGATTTCCAAGAGGGTAGATGAGATGATGTCTGCAAAAGTTCTTTGAAAATCTCAAAAAGGCTGAAGAATCTTAATAATTACTATTACACAAAAGTATGGCACTGATACCAGTTTATTTGAGTTATTTTGCATTTTGATGTTTTGTACAGTGCAAGGAAGACGTAGTATCTTTTCGTCTGAGGTTTGTTTGCTTATTAAGGTTGAAAAATTGTATTTTTCAGATTTTCAGCAATTACATTATTCTTACTTTGCCTTTAGCAGATGATACTGAGAGATTATGAAATACTTGGGAATTCTTCCATTAAAGTTGTAGAGCTGTGAAATGGTAGTTAACCCATTTTTTTCCCTTTGTTCTCTGAATCTTCCTTCTCTCACGGGAAGCTTGTAATACTTAGGAGAAGACTTACAGTGAGTGTTTTGGGTGCTATCCCAAAGCCTCAGCTCTTGTTAAGACTTTTTAATATTTTCAAGTTTTTATGTTTATTCTAAAGATGAATAAACCATTTTTAATTAATAATTTTATTTAAATTTTGAATTAAAATTGTGTTACACAAATCATACATAGTGATCAAACTGTTCCATGTTTTTTGAAAAACAACCTTTATTTATTAAAACAAATGCTGCTCATTTTAAAGCTATACTTAGTCAGATGTGTTATATAACACAGAATAATCTTTGAAGTATTTCTTTTTAAATGCATTTTATTGAAATATAATTTATGTACAGTGAAATACACAAAAGTAAAATGACATAGGTCAGTGCTTTTTTTTTTTTTTTTGGGCAGTGTTTCCTCGCCTCCCGTCCTACCCCTGGCAACCAACAAAGACAGTTTCCCTCCATATATAAACCTTTCCTTGACCCTCCACAACAATGATCTAATACTATATTTGTCCTTCTGTGATTGACTTACTTCACTCAGCACAGTGTCCTCCAAGTCCACGCCATGCGGCTCTTTGCAGGCTCCACATCACTCCTCAGGGCTGCACCGCACTCCATTGTGTGTACCACACTTGGTCATCCACTCCTCTGTTCATGGGCATGTAGGTTGCCTCCATCCTCTTGCTACTCCAAACAGTGCTGCGAAGAACATGGGTGTGCATATATCTGTTCCTGTCCTGGCTCTCACCTTTCTAGGGTATATACCTAGTAATGGGATTGCTGGGTCAAATGGTGTCTCCAATTCCAGCTTTCTAAGGAATCACCATACTGCTTTCCACAGTGGTTGTATTACTTCACGGTCCCACTAGCAGTGTATGAGAGTCCCAATCTCTCCATGTCTCTGCCAGCATTTGTTGTTTTCTGTCTCCTTGAACCTTGCCATCAGTGCTGGGGTGAGATGGTATTTCATTGTTGTTTTGATTTGCATCTCTCTGATGGCCAATGATTGTGAGCATCTCTTCATGTATTTATTGGCTGCCTGAATATCCTCCTTGGTGTAGTGTCTATTCATGTCTTCTGCCCATTTTTCAATTGGGTTGTTAATCTCTTTGCTGTTGAGGTGTTGGAGTTTTCTATAAATCTTAGAGATAAGTCCTTTGCCAGATATGTAATTATCAACAAGTATGAATTTGTTGCTATCATTTTGTTATGTGCTTTTTTGTGGTGTTGATTTCTTTGTTCCATATAATTTTCTGTGCTGAGTTCATTTTTTTTTATGAATTGTGTTATTACTTCGTTTGTTGCTATTGTTTTACTATTTGCTAAGTATTTGTGCTGGTCATCTTTGTTATTTTGATGTGAAGCTTTATCATTTTTCTTTGAGGTTACCCTGTGATTTATAGTTTCTTTCCAAGTTTAGAACAGCCTGTTCTATCTTGTAGTTGTCTTGACTTCCCTACCACAGAAGTTCTGTAGCTACACAGTTTTTTCCCTCTTTTTGTTTTGTAGTTGTCCTCATTTGTCAATTGATGTCTCTGGTTCCCTGTTTACAAACTTGTAGGCTTATTTACTTTGGATACTATAACTGGGTTGGTTTCTGGGTTATGTCATCGTGTGTGTTAATGGTCAGTTATTGTTTGCTGTTGTTGGTTCTCTGTCCAAAGGGCTTCTTTTAGCATCTCTTATAAGGTTGGTCTGGTTTTAACAAATTCTCTTAATTTCTGCTTACCTGGAAATGTCCTAATTGCACCATCATATTGGAGGGACAGTTTTGCTGGATATATAATTCTTCATTGAAAATTTTTTCTTTCAGGGTTTTATATATACCATCCCACTGTCTTCTCGCCTGCATGGTTTCTGCTGAGAAATCTGAGCTTAGTCTTACTGGTTGCCCCTTGTAGGTAACTTTTTGTTTTTCCCATGATGCTTTCAGAATTCTTTCTTTGTCTTTGGTTTTGGTGAGTTTGATGATGGTAAGTCTTGGTGATTTTCTTTTGGGGTCTATCCTGTTTGGGGTTTGTTGGACTTCCTGAATGAATATATTCTTATCTTTCATTGTATCAGGGAAGTTCTGTTCCAACAAATCTTTGACAGTTTTCTCTCTGGTTTTATTTGTCTCTTCCTGTTCAGAAATTCTGATAGCACGTAGGTTATTCCTTCTGATGGTATCCCACATGAACCTTAGGCTTTCTTCATTTTGTTTTGACCTTTTTTCTGATTGATCCCTTTTCAAAAAGTATTCACGTATTTGTCTTCAACCTCACTAATTTTGTCTCCCTTTGATTCAGTTCTACTCCTTTGCCCATTCAATGTGTTATCTATTTCTGAAAATTTAGTAGTAGTAATCTTCTGGATTTCTGTCTGTAAATTTTGTATCATTTCTAATTTTTCATTTATTTTGTCACTTTGTTCTTGTATTGTCTTTTGAAATTGTTCTAGGTTCTTCTCTGTGTTTTCCTCAATTTTGTTGGTGTTTTCCTTGATCTGTCTCTCAATCCACTGAAGTTACGTAAATATAATTCTTTTGAATCCCTTATCAGAAAGTTCTAATGCTTCATCTTCCTCAGGGATATATTTTGGGTCTGTACCTTGGTCCCTTGTTTCTCCTGCTTTATCTTGCTTCTTTGTGTGGACTGTGATGCTCTGTTGTCTCCGAGTCATTGTGATGTTTTTGTGTTTATATTTAATTGGTGATTTTATGTTGGAGTGACTTGCCCACGATTTTTGTTTTCTTTGTTTTGTTGGTATGTTATCTGTGTAAGCAGGGTACTGTGCTGTGCTCCTCTGTTAGCTAGTTGGAAACACTTACACACTCACCACCTATCTTCTTTCCTGTTGTCAGCTTCTGATGTATCCCTGACATCCTTGGCAAAGAGAGCTTATTCTTAGATCCCTGGAATCTGAATGAGAATGCTGTCACTTTAAAATCCAAAATGGCTGCTACTTGTAAGCATTAAAAATGGCTGCGCTCTCGGTCACGTTAAATGTCCAAAATGGCAACCACTTGTTAAAAATCAAAATGGCTGTACCCTCCAGAGAGCCAAAAGTCCACAGCTCACATTGTCTCCCTCCTTGCTATTTTCCTTGCTAGTTATAGGGCACCAGCCCAATTGTCCTTGCAGCCCTTAGTGACCACAGCTGATCTTTTGGTCAATTCTCAGGTCCCAACACCACTTGGAAATATTCAGGCAATTGGTCCTGTCAGAGTAGCTGACAGTCCCCTCCTCTGACCATCTCCATACTCATTGTTGTTCAGGTTTCTCCCCTAGTTGGTGCCTAATCCACTTCTGTATATGTCGTTTCAAAGCTCAGGGCTCCAGGATTATCTTCTGTATCTCTGTCAATTGGTTTCTCTTTTCTTTGTTGAAGAGGGTCTGTGTAGCTTGTCTGCCTACTCCTCCATCTTACTGGAAGTCCCTTGAAGTATTTATTTTCTGGTAAAATAGAGTTATTTTTCTATGAAATATATGTGAAGATTATTTTTAAGGCATCTATAGCTGTACTATCTTTTTTTAAAAAAATATTTACTGTGATTTGGGTGAGTTTACAGAGCAAATTCATCTCTGTACAGCAGTTCACATACACTTTGTCTCTTGACATTGACTGCAATTCCTACAATGCAACAGCTCCCCTCCCACACTTTCTTCCCATAGTTACCTCCTCCCTGTGTCATTCCTTCCCCTGCACTCCTACTGCCTGACCTGTCTCCCTGTGCATAAACAGCCCTTCTATTCTCCCATGATTGATCTCTCCAAGGAGTGCATCTACCTAATATAAATGGTCAGCTCATGTACCTGTCTTTTGTTTGGCTGGAAGCCATAGGAGTGGGTTCAATTCTAGACCTGAAGGGCAGCTAGAGGCCATGGTCTCAGGGGTTCCACCAGTCTCTATCAGACTAACAAACCTAGTTCCCCTTTTTAAAAAAAAAAAAAGATTGAGTTTTGTTCTACATTGTTCTCCCACTCTATCCAGGATCTCCTACATAGATCCCCCTCCTAGCGGTTGACAGTGGTAACCAGGCAACATCTAGTTCTTCTAGTCTCATAGTTATATAGGCTGAAGATTGCATGGTGTAGCAGTCACTTGGACTAACTGTTTCCATATGTCTTTGGTTTTCTTCACTCTTCTTTATTCTAGACAAGGAGAGACCCGTTGTTGCATTTAGATGGCTGCTTGCAAGCTTTTACAGTCACTACTTGCCAAACTGAGATATAGAACAATGTTTTTGTGTAGTATGTTATGCCAATTGAGCTTATTGGTTCCTGTGACCATGGCCCCAAGCCCACAGGTCCAACTACTCAGTCTCTCTGGGTAGCTAGCAGTGGCCAAGAAGTGACTACAACCTTGTCCCTTGTCAGCTCTACTATAAACCAAAAAAACCAAACTCACTGCTATACTATATACCTGGAAATTCTTACAGAACACTCTTGTAGAAAGATTGTCTGCCAACCCTATACATGGTCATG